ATATATATATATATATATATATATATATATGTATGTATGTATATATATATATATATATATATATATATATATATATATATATATATATATATATATATATATATATATAAAGTGATTCAAGATGATAAATTATTTCTGAAGAATCAATTGAATTTGTTCTGTGATAAACCTTAATGCTTAGCGTATTCAGTATAATAGATTATAACATAATAGAAAGCTTCGAGATTCATCATGAGAACTCGAGTTTAAATACCATCAAGTGAGATTTGAATACACTATCCTAACAGCACTTGCCTTGTTTATCAGTAAATGACTTTTCTCTGCCGATAAAACTTATTATTACTAGACCGGATTGAAGCTGGCATTGTTATCATCTCCACAGGCCTGCATTCTCTTGCCTAATCGACAATCGAGCCTTCTGTGTAAAGGAACCCTGAAACAACATCGACATCGAACAGAGGGCAATTAGCTGGCGTAATATTACGTTGCTGCATGGGACTAGCGAGTTGATTAAATAAAGCCGAGGGTTTTGGTGGGTCTCCGCGGAATGATACGGGGCGAATTTACCTAATCGAGACCAGATAGCTTCCGTCAGCTAAGATCGATTTACAGCTGGTGGTATGCCCGGGGAAAGGGGGACCCAAATGGAAGTGGATTTAGAATTAAAGAGAAAAATGACCTCTGTGATCGGATTGCCGACTGCAGGAATCTGTTTGTGTTCTTCTATGGAAACAGATGTAAGTCGTTTATTGATAAATGATATCTGAATAATATAGTGGTTGGCTTTTCGCATTTATTAGCTAATCGGGGAATGAGATAAGCAAATATACTTGGTGGGATTATTATTATTATTATTATTATTATTATTATTATTATTATTATTATTATTATTACTGTTGTTGTTGTTATTTTCATTGTTTTTGTTTGTATACTAATTTCTTTCCGGTTACCACCCAAGGCCCTAAGGTCAAAAATGGCACGATGACATTTTCCACTGCTCATTTGTGTAAAAAATAAAAAATAAAAAAATAAAGCAATCTAAAACATACATACTTTACGTAGATAAAGCCCTTCTTTGGGACTGAATTGTTCTTGTGAGGACATTTTTTTATTTCTTTAATGAGTCACAACCATTTCCAATCAAATCCACGATTCCGACCACTACTGTAATTATTGATGTGCTCATTTGCCACATTTCTGAGATTCCCAGTTCAAGATAATTGCATTTTGATAGTTTTTTGAAGATCTTCAAAGATACATTAGAGTCTGTGGGAACTGCCCGGTCAATAAGAAAGCGCATTCCGTTTTTGTGGTCTTTGATCACGATGTCTGGACGATTAGCTTTGATTGTTCTTTCAGCGTGTATTGCAAATTCTCATGAAAATGTTACAGGCTCTTATGTCTGTAAGTGTGTGGGGGTCGTGGTCATACGAATTTGTTAAAGTTTCCTTCCCATAAATGTAGCAGATATTCTAATGAAGATATTGGCACACCCCGAGTTTTCTTTTTTTTTTTTTTCAGTGGAAAATTATATCGTTCAACCTGATAAAAGATGGCAAGTTGTTTCTGGATATTCATTGTAGAATCTGCATTTGCGATGAACACAATTTTTCTGTATGTTTGCTTGATAATTTGTTGTTCAGAAATATTGGTCCTGCGCGGCAATAATAATAATAAAAAAATAATGATAATAATAATAATAATAATAATAATAATAATAATAATAATAATTATTATTATTATTATTATTGTTGTTGTTGTTGTTGTTGTTGTTGCTGCTGCCGTTATTGTTATTAATGGAAATACTTTCCTTGAGGTAAGATTTCAATAAGATTCTAAACAAATGAACATCTTTTCGGAGAATCCTCGCGGTTGTAAATAATTGCAGTTTACTGGAGGTTAACAATATTTGTCTCAATTCCAATTTACCCTAAGCGTTTTTTCAGTTTTCTGTTAGGTGTTGCAGGTGCTTCAATCACTCCAAGAATTGTTTCTACATTAATGTTCCGTAGCTTATTCAGCTTCCTCGCCAAATCCTGCAACTTTTCTGTATTTTCAGTTTCTTTGAAATTATACTTAATATTAAAATCAACATTTCATTTTGACCTTCATTTGTTTGATAACTCGCAAGCCGGGTCTCAAAAAGTCACCCAATGTTTTCATGATATTATCCATTGATCAGTTTTTGTAAAAAAAAAACAAGACAAACACGAACACACACATTTTACATAAATAAAGCTCTTCGTAATGTGTGAGCTGTACCTGCGGGTATAAATTTTGTATTTCTTTAAGGCAGGGACTAAAAGCGATCCCTCCAATGTATCTATGAGATATGTTTCTAATCAAGTCGTGGTTCCAACTACAATTGGAATTGATGATGTCTTCATGTGTTATATTTTTGAGATCCTTATATTTTTATAGTTACTTGAAGATCATCAAAGATATATTACAATCTGTAGGAACGGCCATGACAATATGAATTCACATTCTTTTTTCTGGT